CAGCAGCTGACCCTCCGAACAGAAATTCGTATTTACCTTTACAAGGTCACCTACAAAATAAAATAAATTAATCATTTTCCATTAGTAGTAAGATAGTGGTAATTTAACCTATTGAAACGCAGAAATTTCAATTTACTCAGGCATATTACCCTCACTGAGGCCTCTTACCTGTAGTTTCTGGCTGAACATAATCGAATACGTGAAAGCGTTACATTGTTGTCACTCAAGGTCGACTGGAAATATAAGCCAGCCGCATTCGTTTTGGGGATAACTTTTAGCCGAACAGATCACTAGGATGAGAACTTTTTATAACTATTTAGTAACACCGGATGATGCACATCCCCTTTTCCGCATGAAAATGGCCGTCTTAACTGCTCATACGATAAGTAAGTCTGAGACTTAGTGGGGAATTCAAAATAAGGTTTTCTTTTAAACTTTTGATGTGCTACGTATGTATGTATGTATGTACCCGTTCAACATTTTCATCGAGTCAAATAGGGAAGTGTTGGACCAAGCATTGGGGCATCATTTCGATGTGGCATCAGATGTAGTATTCACTGAGGTAAACGTCCGGCCAATGAAGCTGGATGTATAGCGTCATGGAGAACTCTTGGCCGAACTCAGGACCACTTGTATAACCTTAGGACCTCACTTATGGCCATATATACCAAGCATGAGACCAAACGCAGGGGAAATGTTGCAAAGCCTCCATCAGGCCCTAAGATTCAGATTTGTTGTTCGAGGATGGATGGTTATAATCCTTTATTAGTCGTTTTCCGGTAGGTCTCTGTGCTTCTCCAGTCCTCTTTCGAGCAAGTCAATTGGTGATGTAAACACCACTTCTGGGAGTCGGTTTCAGTACTCTGCAGAGACTATGTTCGTTCTCGGCTTTTGTATTCTGCTGTGCCCTTGGAGGTGTCACTACCAGGCGGGGCGGAAAAGCGAAAATTTACAGGTTTTAAGTCATTTCTTGGAATCCTGTATAGCATCGTTGGGTCCTTCTTTTGTTGGTGATAGGATAAAGAGTTGATCTTCATAGGTCAGGCCAGCCATCTCAAGGATCGTGCGAGTGGCTACCCCCTGCTCTCTCTCTAGGTGTGAGTCACTTTCCAGACAAATATTTGGAGCCTGTGCATATTCTGCAAAGACGTGACTAAGGGTGTGTATAAACGGTGGACTTATCACCACTTATTTTTGTAAACGTCCTGCGTAATGCTCAGTGTTCTGAAGCCTATTAATATAGGTGTTTATGGTTGTATTGTGTTCTCTGAGCTGGGTTGTTTAAACAACGGTGGTCAAATACCTGAAGCTTTCTCATGTCTTCCACCTTCAATGGCTATTTTTCGCAACCATACAAAAGAATAGAACAGACTGCTATGCAGTACACGCGACTCTCAATAGACAATCGGATATCACGGTGGCGCCACAGATGGCGTAGGTTGGCAAAAGCCAACTGAGCCTTTTGTATTCGTGCAGAGATTTCATGGGCCACTGAACCACCAGGGCTGATCCCACTCTCCAGGTAAGTGACGCGGTCAACGCACTCAACCGCTACACTTTCTATTGTTAGCTAGCTGTGGCACCGTTGAAGATCAATCTTAGGGCAATAACTTGCGTTTGGGTGGTGAGAAACGCATCCCGAAACGATCTCAAATCGCCACTCAAGGTGTCCAGAAGACTGCATTTTATCAACGTCTTCACTTAACAGGATGGGGTCTAACGAAAATTCTCCCGCTACTAGGTCAACGTCTATGTAGTAAGGTGATGAGAGGGAAACCTCCATAGGAATATCCGTGATAAAACTGAATAAGAATGAAGACAGTGGGCAGCCTTGATGGACACCACTTGACGAGTACAGCTCCCCAGACATCTCACCATTGGCCCCAACATGCCCACAAGTGTTCGAATAGAGAGCCTTCAATAAGGTGATGTACTTACTCGCCACACCCTTGGGTGAGAGACATTGCCATAAGACTTCTCGATCGATGGAGTCAAATGCTGCCGCCTTCAGGTCGAGAAATACAGCTGTTGTCGGGCGTTGGTAAGCGTGCCTGTGTCCCAGTGCCTGGCGCAGTGTGAATATGTTGTCGATACACCCGCGACCGGGTCTAAAGCTTGTTGGTTTCTCGGGCTTGCTATTCCTGAGCTCCACTCAGGGAGAATTATCAAACCTAGAATTTTAGATACTATGTTCGTCAGGCTGATTCCTCTGTGGTTATCACAAGAGGACTTTTCGCCTTGAGGACTGGGGTAATCAGTGATTTAGACCAGTCAGAGGGGACCGTATTTGATTCTCATATACTAGTTAACACTTCTGTTAATCTGAGAGCACCTTACCACCATCCTTGTATACCTCTGGAGTTAGTCCGTCTAGTCCTACTGCCCTTCCTTGTTTTAGGTTACCTACATCTTTCTCGACTTCTGCAAGTGTTGAGGGGTCTATCTCAATGTTCTATTCCGGTTCCGACTGAATAGGGGGCAAAGCCATGGTAGCTGGAGGCCAGTTAAACTGTTCCTCGAAGTGTTAACTGAATTCGATTCACACTGGAAACAGACTGGAAGTAATCCGACTGAAACATGGGATCATTCCGTGAAGTCGTTGTCTGTTGTTTTGTGAGACGTAGGGAAATGTAGATTTCCATATTAAATTGCTGACTTGGTATTCACCTCAGGAAAGCAGTACTAGATACTGAATGACGTTTCCAGCAGCATTTATTGTTCATATTCATATTGGTATGTGCATGAACAATAAATTCTGTTCGAAACGTCATGCAGCAAATAATACGGTTTTACTGTGTAAAATATCAAATAAAGGATCGGATATGGAATTATACACTACCTTAGTGCCCTAGTTTTACTCTTATATAAATGTAAACTTCACGGTTGAGGTCCGCGTGACAACAGAAACCGTTGGCTGGAGATTCTAGGTTACGTGGATCAGAATAGAGGTCAGCGGCAGAGATGCATCTCCACATTATCTTCTTAATCCCCATACTGAATTTCTGTATTCTCTTGTTTCTCCTTGTTCTCTCTTTACAACTTTCTACCAGTTTTGACTGCTGTTTTCCTTATTTCCTTATCTTTCATATTGGTGTATTGTCGCTTGATATGCTGATGTAGTGTGGCAACTTTATCTGTTACTCGATAACCACAAGTCTAATGTTTATATTATCCACCGCTGTCTGTTTATAATCCTGATGATACTACTCTACAGTGATCGGGGTGTGACTCGACTTTATACTCCTAATACTTGAATGAATTGATTGGAATATAAAACCGAACTTTTAGTTGAAAAAATGATTTGGAATCAGAGTGTGGTGCTCACCTATTGTTGGTGCTTATATTATCGGAGATCGAGTTACAATATAGAGAATTATGTGCTTATTTTTAAAACATTTTGCATAACTGGTTAGGTCACTAGTATTATTTTTTCTCTTCTGTCTGATTATAACAATGGCATGAAAAGTTTGAAATCTCAGAGATTTGTGAGCTAGGTGAGTGACTTTGGGGTGTTACTGGATGTTCAGCTTGATTTACAAATTTCAGTTGAACATTGGTAACAACTTCTAGATTTTTTTTAACAATGGCTATCGACAAGTACAAATATTTTTGCAAACGTGATATTACTCACCATATCAGGCTTGCTATTTGTGTTATCGTTTCAGGCTCTTTGGTTGCTACTTGCACATTTTTCAATGCGCTTTCGTTTGGCAGGAACCTAACTCAAGCAGGAGTGGTGTGTATCGAACGCATGCTGATCGGAGGTGAATATATTTTGAATTATGAGCTACTGTTTTAGCGGCTATGGGATTAAGCCATTCATCCATTTCCTTTATATCAGCGAAAGGTACTGGAAAACCTGATAGTGCGGTCAATCATGCAGTTGGAGGGTTTGCAAGTGGTCTGATCGGTGCTTGCAAGTGTAAGTTAGATAATGCAACTAAGTGCTGATTTATATATATATATATATATATATATATATATATATATATATATATATATGTATATATATATATGTACATGGATATATGTCGCGTATGCTGAACCATTGCCTGCCTCAACGTCCAGTGCTAGCCGAAGTGGGATCGTGTTGGAACAAGGCTCAGAGTGGTCAAAAAAAGATATGGCATCAATCTACTAAGTTTCTGATTGCTGGTCCAAGGCGTTTACGGGTGTAGGCTACCTGGCTGTGGATCCTGATAACATAGGAATCAATAAATTGGAGGCCACTTATGAAGTGGTTGGAAATCAGTCACAACGGCGTAAGGTGTATTCACTCTTTGACGTCTTTCAAAGCTTGAACGCTCCGACTAACCTTGTTACCCGAATACCTTTGCTTCTTATATATCTTTGATATCAGTCGTTTTCTATCCACTTTTTCTTTGCATGCTGCTATGAAATGAGATAACTTGGGACCGATGCATTCTGTGCGAGGTTCTACTTTGTCTTTTTGTCTATTTATCGTTAACTGTCTCGAGTCTGAATGGTTTCTTGACATGTAAGATGGGAATAGTGTAG